TTTTTTTTTTTTTTTTTTTTTTCCCCCAACAGGGGGCCGGGGTCCCGGGTGCCGACCCCCGGAACCCCGGAACCCCGGCGGGGTCCCGGGGCCGGGGGTCGACAACCCTGGTTCTAGTGCCTTCTTGCGAGGTATTGCTTTTCCCGGTGCAGGTGCCTATGCGACGTCGGTTTTTCGACTGCGCCTGCTTCGGATATATCCGATCTATCCCGCGGTCTTTGTTTTTGACCATTCGTTCTCTTAAGGGCAGTGTGACAAGGATGGCTCACGATGCCTCGGATTCATCCGAAATGTGCAGGCGTGTGGACCATTGTCGTCTAACTATGACTGAACTTCGTTCTTTTGGGGTCCGGGTGATCGATAACAGAATACGTGTTGTGGGTCGTGGTTGATGTTGGGACGTGCTGACTGTTCTGAGTGCATGTGGGTTTATTTCCTCCGTGTGTTTCAGGGAATGGCTACACACGGACAAAGCCGCTCCGCTGGTGGTTCCGCCCCGCATGGAGAGGAGCGTCGAGGGACAACGTCGTCGCTGGCAAGGGAAATGAGTCGGGGAGGTGGCGGTGGGGAGGAAGAACGACGGGCTCAAAACTTGTGGTGCGACTACAGCAAACGTGTCTGGTATTTGGACTGGACGAGCCAGGACGACCCCGACCCGTTGCAACCACTGTGCGGGCCGCTCTTGTTCGTCGCCGTTCGCGCCGACAGAACGCGTGTCGCAGGATCCATCGTCCAGTGGGTCGACGATGGCGAATACAATTTCAAGTTTACGTTGAAGAAGCATTACAAAAGTGATGGTTCCGTCGACGACATCGCAAAGGGATGCAAGGTTGCCGGGAGGATGTCTGGCGGGTACGGCCGGCGTACGACGTCTTTGCCATGCTTTGTCCCGCTAGCGCCGGGGCACAACGAGGCCGTTCACGTGACAGACTTCCTCGAGGTCTGGGCGAGATCTGGTACCTCTGTTAGTGCCGTGGACGTCGGACCTGGGACATTGATCAGTGGTCCTGTTGGGTTCGCGGGAGGAGAGTGCTCTGAAAGGGGGATGGGAGGTCAGGGTGGCCTGCCAGCTACGCCTCCTGATCAAGAGGTCGGCATGTCAGACGACTCATAGGACGACCATCCGCGTGCTCCTTTGAAACCGGGCTTGCATGGATCTCGCTGCCAAGGTTTGCTTGGGGAGTCGACACCACGTGGAGGCGGCGATGGCGAACGGTTGCGACAGGGCTCAGAATCGACGACTCCTCGTGGTCTGGTCGAAAGGATCGGTTCGTTCGTTCGTGGCATGCAGGTGGCCGAGGTTTCGCCTGGAGATCGCGCGGGTGGTCCGCAGGTTCGAGAGGTGCGTGGGTCAGATGAGACGACTCGTCGGGCCCGACCTGCGCCTGCGCAACTGCAGACGGAGTTGAGCCAGGAATGAGAAGCAAGTGGGAACGTCGCCGGTGAGGAGGAGGTGTCCGAGCAGGGGCTGTTCCGTGAGAGATCGGCTGAAAACACTCAGTCGGAAGGCAAGCGCAACTTGCCAGATGAGGAAGAGCGAGAGGGAGTAGGTGCTCTGAAAAGGCAGAGAAAGGTAGGAGGGAGTGCTCGGACGCCAACAACACGAGAGGGCGGTTCCGTTGAGAAGAAGAAAAGGGTTGGAGGTGGGGATGAAACGCCAAAAGACTCGTCGACACAGCAAAGAACCGGTGAGTCTTCCGGGAAACGGTCGAAATCATCGAGGGGGAAGAAAGCAGATGAGGGCGACAACGGGGAGGGGGATAACGACGTGGAGATTAACCTCAACGCCCTTAACCTCGACAATGCGTTATTCCTCGAGATGCAGACAGGGGTGCAGAGGGACGTCGTGTTGCACATCCATCCCGAAAGAATATTAGCTATTCCAGACTGGGAAGACACGTACAACCACTGATCCTTGGACAAGTTCCTCGTTGATACCATCGCGCCGGCTATGATCGACTGCTACGAACGTAAAGATATGAGATACACGAAGCCCATTTTCGTTCTCGCTCCGATCGTCGCGGCTCCAGAGAACGGCGAGCCTGCTGTGCGTGTGCTGCCTGCTGACTTCAAAAGCTCACAGTCGGAGAAATACTAGTATTATCCTGTGTGTGGACAGCATTACGCGAGGGCGGCGATGAAGGTGAAAAACCATCCTGTGTTTGAGTACTACAACTTCTGTAAACGGCCATTCAGACTGATCTACTTCCCTGACGACGAGTTCGACCGCTACACCCATGTCAGTTGCGAAGACAACATGAAAGACATGAAGAATCCACCGCGCTTGCAGGTTTTGTCTATGCGGGACATTCGCAATATCTGAGAAATTAAGGGCAAACCGCGTATGGTGCTCGGCAATGCCTCGAAGAAAAGAAAGTGGGTGCAGTTCATGGCGTTGGCTATGAAGAAGACACCGTACATGCCTTGGTGGAACCTGTCAACGGAAGAGAAGAAAAGAAAGGAATGGACTGAGAAACTTCGATACTACCTCCCGCTGGCCATGGCAGATGACTCCGTCTTCGCTTTGGGGGAGAAGTTCTATGAGGAGTGGTCAAAAGGGAAACTCCTTGCTTCCGACGGCTGACGCTGGACTGAAAAGCCGCCCATCCATGAGGAGGTGGCCAAGCCAGGACTCTCCACTATGACTGACAGCCAGAGGCTGAAGAAATACATCTGGTTCGTGAAGGTGGACGACCCGTCGTTGAAAAAGGGCAGGGGGAAGCCAAAGAAAGGCGCGGAGGAGAAAACTTTCTACATCCAAGTTCCTGAGCCGGATGTCCACTGCTGGAAGGAATTGGTGGACTTGACGGACCGCGAGAAGAAAAGGCTGTTGAACGGCGTCTTGAACCTTCACGTCGTGTGGGTTCAAACGAGTAGCAAGAAGTTGGCCGAGCAGGGGAAGTTCAGTGTCAAGGAGATGGTCGACATAATAAAAATGGACCGGATTATGCTGAGGCTGTGGCACTACGTGGAGTTCGAGTACGACGAAATGGATAAGCGAGAGTGGAATGCCAACTCCACGTTCTTCAGGTCCAAGAAGCAACTGTTGGAAGAGTTCAAGGACAAAGGTCTCGACGACAAACTTTGGAACGAGAGCAGGAAATTTTTCATGGACACCACGTACGTCAACAAGTGCCCTCAGTTTCTCGGGTGTCAACACGACAACAACATCAAGAGAACGGTGGCCCTCGTCAACGACCAGCATTTTCCGGCGGAGTGGAAGCGTGTCGTCCTTTCGGTGATCACTGGAGATCGCGCCAAAGGCAAAAAAAACCCTCGGGGCATTGATGAATGCATCAACATTATGTGGACGAGGACAAGCGCCTTGACGACGCTGGCCCAGTTTAACGTCGACCCATTGAGTGCCA